CCAGATATTTGGGGGCATTTTCAGGTATCTTTCTGTTATTGATTTCTAATTTAATTCTAATTTGGTCATAGAGCATACTTCACATGACAAATCTTTTTAAATTTGTTGATTTTGACTTGATGGCTCAGATTCAGTCAAATTTGATCAACGTCTGCCATGCACTTTTAAGTTGTTTTGCATTTAAACCAACCCTTGAAAGCTGACCACAGGTCTGAGAGATCCAGGGGGCGGGGGCAAGGGGAGGGTGGTGCGGGTGAATGGGGTGGGTCGGGAGAGCACAAGGGACTGTGGTGGAGGACTAAGGATACTTTGGTAATGGGAGAGCTTCTGACACCTGAGGGGAGAAATCCTATACTGTCAAAATATTAACAAGGATGCAAAAACAATGGCACTTCAGTTCAGTAAGTAAATAATTCCTGTAAGATTTTTTTTAAACATTTATAGCTTGGTGGTGGGTTCTAGAAATGTCAGTTTGATACTGTTGTCAAGCTTTCTATATTCTTACTGATGTTCTGTCTACTTTGATCTATCAATTAATAGAAAGAGAGCTATTCAAATTTTTCACTGTATCTATTTTTCTTTGCATTTCCAGTTATGTCCTCTTAATGAACTGAATGTCCTGATCATTAGAAAACAGCCTTTTCCTAGTCCTGGTAATGCTCTTTGCCTTCAAATCTATCTTACCTGGTATTAACTTAGCATTTCCACATTCATTTGTGTTAGCAGGAGTATCATTTCCTATTCTTTTAACCTATTCATGTCTTAATATTTCACGTGCATTTTTGTAGGTAGCATGTACCTGGGTCTTTCCTTTTCACTCAATTTCAAAATCTCTACTTTTCAACTGGGGATACTTGCATGTCATAGAGACCTGTTTATGGACTGAATTGTGTACCCCCCAAAGTTCATGTGCGAAGCCCTAACTCTCAATTTCAACCTCAGTATTTGAAGATATAAATAAGGTTAAGTGAGGTCATAAGGGTGGGGCCTTAATAAGACTGGTGTCTTTATAACAGGAAGACTTACCCAGAATGACAATTCTCTTTCTCTCCTTCCCTCCCTCTCTGCCATGTGAGGACACAGTGAGAAGGCAGCCATCTGCTGCTCAGGAAGAGAGATTTTGCATCAAAAATTGAATTGGCTGGCACCTTGATCTTAGACTTTCACCCTCCAGAATTGTGAGAAAAAAAATTTCTGCTGTTTCAGGGGCCTAGTCTGTTACAATAGCCTTTAAGACATATTCTTGATCACCTGCATTGAACAATTTGATGTTGAGATGCCTTATCATATGCCTCAGTGTCCTTCTCTTCATGTTTCTTGTGTGGAGGGTTCATTCCATTTCTTGGATCTATGGGTTTCAGTTTTCATTAAATTTGGAAACATTTTACTCATTATTTCTTGAAATATTTTCCCCATCCTCTCTGCTTGGGGACAATTGCATGGACAGTCGGTTGCCCAAAGTTGTCCCACCATTCGCTGATGCATTTTTCATTTTTTTTATTTATGCATTTTTTTCATTTCTTTAACTGTCTTCTGTGTTTTGTTTTGAAGAGTTTCTATATTTTATATCTCATCTAGACTCTGAGCTCCTCAGGGACCAAAAAATCCTTACCTGGAGATGAGAAATAAAGAAATAGAACCGACTTGGAGAGGCTACTGACAAGTACTTTTTCATTTTGAACTTGAGCTGACTGAGATACCTAAATGGAGAGTTCAGCTCAAAGTTGAGAATCAGCACCTGAGTCAGGAGAGAATGGGCCCTGGGACAGATTGGGGACCACTGGCTTGGGGCTGTGGTTGAATGTTCTCTGAGAAGAGAACACTGAAGAAGAACAAAGAGAGTAAGAACTCAGAAGGGAACCCTGAACAGCAATGAGATTTAAAGGGCAAGAAAGAGAAGTAAACTATTGAGTAATTTGGAGTCTTCCATGATACCGAGAAGGAGTGCTCTAAAGAGTATGAAGAGAAACCACAGTAAAGGCACTGAAGAAATCAAAGGAGCAGTTTTGAGAGAGTGATCAGCATGAACGCTCAGAAAGGTCAAGTGATAGGACGCCCCCAAAATTAGTCACTGAGTCATTCCATGCTCATAGATCACTTAGTATATTAAAATGGCAACATTCCCCTAAAGCAATCCACTGATTCAACATAATCTGTTAATGGACATAATGGTTCTTTGGGGGACAGTGAAAATGTTTTTAAATTGAGTGATGATTGCTCAAATGCAAACATACTGAAAACAATTGTGTGATACACTTTAACAGCATTTACATGGTATGTAAATGCTATCTTAACATTATTATGTTTTTATAAAAGAAACCACTTCATTTGCTACTTGGGAGCTATTGATGACCTTAATAGGAGCAGTTTCACTAGTGGTGGGAGTTGAAGCCAGATTGAAGAGGGTGGAGGAATGAATGAGAGATAAAGAAGTAGCAACAAATATCATCTGCACTTTCAAGATGTTGTGACAAAGGAGACTGGGTAGTAACAAAAAGGGGGTGATTTTTTTTTTTCAAGAGATAAACAGTCCAGTTGAGAAAGAAATTGAAGCTAATAGGAACCCGGAGCTGGGGTCAGTGACCACTGTAAAGTGTTAGAGCACATAGGAACTTGTGTTTCAGACACTGAAAGTCTTAATTTTTCTCTGATTTAAAGAGGAAAAAAAATCTTTCTTCCTGAACTCTGGCTAGGTCAGGCCTTTTCTTCCCTAAGATAACCAGATTGCATTCTCCAAGAGTTCCCATCATTTACATTTTGCCAATTACCCCTTATTCGTCAGGACTCAGATAGGAAAAGGATCACATTGCAAGAAATATTATAGTCCCCAATGATTATAATTTAATGTTTTTAATCCTCTTCCATAGCTCAAGTAATTGACTTTAATATTGAGACAACTGACAGCAACTCTCAAAAAGCTAAGTTTTTAGTCAGCAGAAATAAGATTAATACCATTTGTATAAAAGGATATAAAAGAACAGTCATTTTTCAAATTGCTAAGTATCCCCCCAACCCAATTTCTAAATCTAGATAATCATTCAGGAACTCTGGCACAAATCCACGGATAATCCCAACTTACCTCGTTTATACATTATAAAACTATACAGTAATGGCCTTTTACCTAAACTCAATTTCTGAGTTATTTTCCAAGTTTGAGTCCTATTATATAGTATTTCTACAATCCTTGTTTTTCTCAGTGCTTAAGCTCAATACCTTGAACGTTCTTAAGAGAGATCCCTCACATTAATAGAGTTGGTGTTAGGAACTACATTGAAAGCGTAATGTTAACCTTATCAATTCTCCCATCTCTTGACTTTATATGATATTTTGGCAGGTGCTCTGATCTTGGGAAATGCCACTCAGAAATAACACAGAACAATCAATACCACAGAGGACTGGTTCAGGCGAGACACATTCAGGAAGAATGTCCAGCCTCAACAATTACTCAGTAGAGACAGCCTTCTTGCCGGATCTTATGTTTATCAGTTGCAAGTTTTGACATTAATTTTGGTTGGACAATTTGTATATGAATTGAACATCTTTTAGCCATGGTCGAAGACAATTAACCTTTCTTCTATAAGGATGCTGGAGCAGAAGTTATGCAACCCAAAAATAATTCGGTTACAAAGATATATGTCGTTCCCGATGCCAGTGTTATGTCATTCTCCTGCCCTTAGCCACCCTGACTCATTCTCTGCATTGGTATTCACATTGAATTAACATAAATTCAAGACAAAAAAATCTCTGGTATCATCTTAGGAATACTGACTCATTTACTTTTGCTGTCAACATTCCCTTATTCAATTTTACTCAGGCATATAACATTCATTTTAAATGATAATAACTTTATTTATAGGGGAACACTGAAAGATGATTTAATGTGGTGGTTAAGAGCACATACTCAGGGTCACATTGCCTGTATTTGAACCCCCACTTGGGCACTTATTAGCTTTATAACCTTGGACAAATCACTTAACCTCTCTGTGCTTCATTTTTCTCATAAGTAACAGGATCCCATAATAGCAAGATCACATAGGACTTGCAGTGGAAATTAAGTGAATTAATCCACATCAAGTGCTTAGAACAGTGCTGGGTACATATAATGTCCTCTGTTGGCACTGCTAGTAGCTTTTATTTTCTTGACATTTTAAAAGGACAGGTTTATTAGGAAAAGGAGACAGAGAAGCACCTGCATAGTCACAGGTGGGCAGGAGAGCTACCTTAGCTCTTAAATAGGAAAATGGTTTACATTGTAAGATTTGAATCTAAATATTGAATACAGTATTAGGAAATTTGATAGTGCTTCAGGAAATTCTCATGAATTTAACAAGCATGAGCACAGGCAGGAGAACCAACAAAGGCAAAGCCTAAAGGGCCTGGAGAAGAGCTTGGGCTCTGGTTATGCCCAGCGGGGACTCTGAGCCAATCTCTCCACAGTGTGCTGCAGACACCATCCACGCTCGGGAGGGACTCCCAGGTTCTAACAACCTGTAATTCCTGAATTCACATTTTCGGGATCTGTCCGCTAAGTGGTACTATTTACGGCCTCTAAGCAGAAACAAACAAGTATCTATAAAATAGTTTCCATGAAGTTAAAAAATGAAAAAGAACACAGGCCCACAAAGTCCCAAATAGGAGTCTGAAGGGCTGCTCCAACAACACGCTCCTTGTATGAGCACATTAATGAGAGCCCCACTGAAAGCAGGAGACTGCGGCTTCTCCTGACCTGGCAGGCCAGGTGTGAGGATCTACCTAGCCTTCCCGGCTGACCACAGCGTGGACCCCTAGCCTGTGACTCCAGTACCACCCTCATTTTCTTCTGTTAACAGGTGGGTAGCCTATTAATAGCTTCTTAGGAGAAAACAAAAGTTGCACTCTTAGGAGTACATCATTACAAATAATATTAAAACCATGACTTGATTTCTAAAGTTATTAGACTTCTAAAACACCTGTCTTATCTGAGATGACCAGAAACTTATGAAAAATAACAGAATGACGGTGTTTTACATACTGATTTATTTTAAAGCACAATATACAAGAAAATGCAGAGTTTCTCACAAAGCATTTGATTTAAAAAAAGTTGTAAAGACAATTTTCAAACTCTAAAGTCTCTATTTAGGATAAATATACATACTTCTGGCCATAAAAGTGCAATTTTAAAGTGGATTTCAGACCTCTTAAGCTACACAATAGCTAATGGCCAGCTTAAGAACATTAAAAATGTACACTTATAAAAATTTGAGGAAATCCATGAATGGTTATAGACATTATAAACATCTACCATGTCATGTGAAAGGTTTCATGATTTACCTTAAAAACTTAAATCTTGTTTTTTACAATATCATAAAATAATTATTACAAAGTTTTCACTATACATTCTTATTTACACTCCCACACATCTCCTTTACTACCAATCACAGGTTCGTATTATTATATATATATATATATATATATATATATATATATATATATATTATATACACACACACATAACTTTTCCCCTTAATACTCCTTCAGAGAAACATATATGGTCCAAAGAACAATCAGATCATAGCAAAATGCTGCTTTAACTGCTTGATTAAGTGCTGGGTATCCACGTGATCTGGAAACGCTGCTTCAGATTTCTGGGCAGCAATGTAGCTTCTCTGAAGATCTCCAATCTGGAGGAAATGCCAGGATAAGGTCATGGAATGAGAAAAGATGAGTAAGGAAGTCAAAAGAAGATATACTATCTGCATGCAGTAGGGACTCAAAGAGTTTTTAAGGATAAATTGCTTGGTTCTGCTACTTTGATTTTAGAATCCTTTCACGTAGATTATAATTCACTCTTGAAAAATAAAATAGCCAATTATATAAATAATTTCTGCTCCATTACAGCTGTCTAGTTATGAATTCATAAACCTGGGTTTTCTTTTCCTGTCACTGATAGTATTATAAAAATAAAATGACATTTGCATGCTAAAGCAGACAGCTCTCTACATAAAAGTGCAATTTTAGGGAAACTATTTGCAATGTACCATAGACAAAGACATATTTTGATTAGAATGTTATCTTTTGGACAGAAAATTCAAGCAAAAACTATTGTATTTAAAATACAATAACATGCTCCGGGTGGTTTTAAATGGTGCTGTCACAGTAATGTTAGGAAGATATCTGGGTTTAAAAGTTTATAAAGGGTGTCTCTGATTTTCAACAAATTTTGTGTCCAAAGAAAAACACTCACATTATCTGCATCTACCTGAATGTACCTTGATTGGTGTATACATTTCTTCAAAAAGAAAGCTTTTTAGTGTGTGCACACACGAAGAAACTAGATAATCCTGGTAATTATTTTGTAATGTATAAATATCAAAAACATAAGTTACTTTTTTTTAGCTGAAAGGTATAATTTTAATTTTCAATTAAATTATAGGGCATGATATGTGAGTGATATTGGTTTGCAGGTAGTGAGATAACCTATTACTAATATAATCTAAAATATTAGGCTTACTCTGCATTTCCCCCTGGCAAATAAAGTCAACTCACAAATATATATAAAATATAAGATGGGTATGTATGTGCCCTGTTCTGAGTCAGCATTTCTTTTTAACATACTACTATCTCTTTTGGAAGTGTAGCCTTCTGTATAAAGAAATATCTCATTTGAGTTATAACTCATAAAATGAGATGACATTCCTGGAAGTAATCAAGCCTCCTTTGTGGTCTAAGTGGAATGAATATGGGCATTGTTGGATGCGGGGTGTGAGTTCTGGACCTGCATCTGGGCATTGTTGGGAGCGGGGTGTGAGTTCTGGACCTGCTGCACCTCGTGAACTCTAGGGAGCTCTTTAAGCTCTGTAAACTATGGGTTTCAGTAGAAGGTGAACTGCAAGAGGTAAAGGCTTGTTTGCTTTACTCATTGCTAACACCTCTGTGCCTACAACAGTGCCTGATACATAGCAGAGGCTCAGTAAATGAAACAGCAGCTGCAAAAAAAAAAAGAGAGAGAGAGAGAGAGGAAGGTACCTATGTAGTAGGGTCACTGGGAGAGTTAGAGAAGGGGTATAGAGTTTCTGGAACAGTAGCTACCACCTAGCACTCACAAATTATAACCTCTTTTATTTCAAAACAGAATTGAGTGTGGAGGGCTTCATGTTCATGATATGACAAATGCTATTTTTATGTCTTTTGGTCTATAAAGACTTACAGGGGCCTCCCTAGTGGCGTAGGGCTTAAGTCTCAGCAGTATCACTGCTAGGGCCTGAGTTCCATCCCTGGCCAGGGAGCTAGGCCACATGGCACAGCAGACCTCTCCAGTCTTGCTTGATGCTCCCCTTAGCAGTGTATTTCAGTAGATCCACCTGTTCTGCTCCCCACTCAGCACCACTCCTTTAGCTTTGGGAGAGTAACTAACTTGCTATATAGTAAGAACTGCTGCATTTTCCTCATATTGTTCATAGTTATAATAGGTTTCACTAATATACCTAATTTTATAGTAATCATGCCAGAGACTTGGTAACAATATGATCTACAAGATTTCCTTACTGTAAAAGCCAGTGACTAAATCCATCCCAAACCAGGAGTCACTTAGTATTTTTCCAGTGACTAAATTTCATCTTTTAAAATAAAAAATAATTCTTCTGCAATCTACAATGGTGTTAAGTTTTGCCAATCCTCAGTGACAAATTTCTTTCGTTTATTAGACTTGAAGTAAAGGCATATTATGTAGCAATGTTTAAAAATCATTTCTATCAATCAGGTAAGGTTAGAATTTCCTTATCGATCTGTACTTTAAAAAAAAAGAAGAAGAAAGGGAAAGAAATAGTTCAGACGATAAGTTGATAAAGAGAATACCTTATCAGAGACTGTTGCAAAGTTGAAGTGTGGCTCATACATATGGGGAGCTAAAGATGATGCAGTCTGCAAAAGTGCCCTTGCCTGTGTGGGAAAAAGGGGGGAAACAAAAGATATCTGAGCATGAGCAGCATAACCTCTGTGATTTTTTTTTTTTGTAAAAGTATCCTTTTAGGATATTTAAACATGTATCCTTAAACATGATCCTGTAACAAACACAGATTATATTTCTAGTGATATACAATGACTTATTGATATACAATTAACTATTTCTCTCTTACCAAATGATATGAATAATAAAAGTCTCAAAATACAGAGAAAATAAGAGAACAAAAACTTAAAGTCATTTGAGAACCACTGTGCTTGTAGTTAGTATTTCATGACATAGTTAGAATACAAAACAAAACAAAAAAAGTCTCTTTAGTCTAGGGTTAGTCTGTTGATTGATTGACTTAGTAGGCTTCCAATTAACTGTTCTGTAATGAAACAACCAAAAAACCATAGTAAATAAACTTCAAAGCCCCAAATTCTGTGCTTGGATGAGAAGGAGCCAGCATTTCTCGTTATACTGCTCACCTGAAAATGACAAGCTTTCTGTTCTCTAAAGCACTCAAGGAAAAAAAAATCCACATCATTTCTTGTCTGCTATAGGCTCAAATGATCATAAATTGCAAAATTCCATGGCAGAACAAGGTCCAGTCTTAGAGTAGTTCTTGTTTGTAAAATGCAAATTCATCTTATTTACTTTGGGAGAATTGATTAAGTAAAAGCAACATCCACAATGAAGTGTCTTGTTTTGTGAAAAGTTAATCACTGTGCCTAAGAGAGCAGGCTGGAGGTCAAAGTCCTGGCATGCAGCTCACTGTGTCTGTGACCTTGGACAGTTACTCACCCCACTGGATTCTATTTCTTTATCTCTAAAGTGAGAATATAATAGTGTCAACCCTTGATTGTTAGTAAGACTATATGAGCATATTTGGCATTTTAAACCTTTTGTATTCAAATAACAACAACAATAATACATCCACCATGGCTCAATATTACATTTCTATGGGGGGGCTAAAGGTAGCATAATATGTATCTTCTGTTAATCCTCACAAAAATACCTGCAGGTCAGTATCACTGTTTCCCTACTTCATATATTGCCCATTTATTCCACAAATATTGACTGAGCACTGACCATGGACCTGGCGCTGGTTTTGCTGCTGAAAATATGGCAGTTAGAAGACAGAGAAAGCTCCTGCTTTCATGGAGCTAGGATTCCACATTCTGTACTTTAATATGAAAATAGCTGATAAAATGATAAAAGTAGATGTGATAGTCCTCAGAGCAACTGAAGAATGGAGTTTGAGAAGGCCTTTCTAAGGAGGTAGCAATTAAGCTAAGATCTGAATGACAAAAAGAAAAGAGGCTCTGCAGGATCTGAAAGAACATGCTAGAGGCCCTGAAGTACGAGCAGCACTGTGCTTCTGCAGAGCCAAAAGGCAGTTCAAGAGTCCAGAAGTCAGAGGGAAAGGAAGAAGCAGGGGTGGCAAATGTGGTCTGGGACAGAGCCAGAGGCCAGATTATGTGCAGCCTGCAGGCCAAGGTTGCAAGTCCAGATTGTATCCCAAGTGAAAGGAGAAGCAGTATTAAAACAATCTTGTTTTTTAAAAATCCCTTTGGCTGTTCTGAGGATGTAAAGCAGAGTGCTTTGAAAATGATAGCTCTTGCTGATGAAAATGAAAATAAAAAGACCAGCAAGGAGACCTGGAAGAGTCCTGGCAAGAGGTGGGAACAGTTTGGAGAGGGAGGAGGGTGGACAGGAGTGGAGTGTCCAGGTGAAGGATGTGGCTTGGAGGTACAACTGACAGGACTTGCTGTGTATTTTGGGGGCATAGGGTGGCAGAGAAAGGTGAGAAAAGAGGCTTTAAGGGTGTGATGTGTTCAGGACATGATACACCAAAAAATGAAACCGTGGCCTATTCAACATCAAAAGCTGGAGGAAAAGAAAAAAAAACAGCAGAAGCAGGAAGGCCGCTCTGATTTCCTCCTCATCCTTCTGCCCTAAAACAGGTCATAAAACGCCCTTGAGAAAGGTCCCCTCCAAGACTGAGAATTTGGTGCTGAGGAGGTTAAAGGAAACTTGTTAAAGTAACCCTTGGTCCTAGTTCCTTCTTTTTAAGCTACCTGTCACCCAAAACCCTTTGTCTTGTCAATTCTTCACAAACTTGTTTCTTTGTCTAAAGGAATATGAGCATCCTGTTCTGGTCTCTTCTCAAATTTTCATTCTCTTGTGTTCATGTAAACATTCAACTCACACTGTGAGCTTTTCCTCTGTTAATCTTTGTCAGGTTGATTTTCAGACCCAGCCGGGGACCTAAAAAGGCCAGGAATGTTTTCCTCTCCCTCAGATGGCTCCTAAGACTCTGACCTGAGCACCTGGATGGTAGATGGGTGAGTGTGAGAGGGGGAACAGTTCACAAGAGGCAGCCCCAATGTGTCCTCATAGAGCCACATCTTCTAGTTTGGACTCAGAGAAGCTCAGTAACTTGTCCAGGGTCACTTCAGTAACAGGTACAGAGCTGGGATTCACACCCAGGCCTGTCAGGCTCTAGAGCTTATTTTTAAGCTAACAAATGACAACAGGCATGGTGACAGCTTTTCTTGAGTAAAGCGGGTGGTCCACCATGCCCCCGGTAGTTCACCAACCTGCTCAACGTGGCCCTTGCGCATCTCCAGCACTGCCAGGTTGTTGTAGGCCTCAGCGTGGCTGTTGTTGTTCACCAGCGCCAGCCTGAAGCACTGGTGTGCCAAAGCCATGTCCCCTATTCCCTGCAAAAGAAAGCACGTGTTCTCACACACACAAGCCCATACACTTCCTCCTCCTTTCTTTTTACATATAAATCCTTCTGGCTAGCACAGAGAAAGGAATGAGTCCTGTTCAGAGGAGTCAAGTGTGAAGGCAAGGGGCCTTCACCTGGGAAGATACAATGGCTTAATGGGACTCCTAGAAATCTCTAAATTGCTATATAAGACATTAACCAAACCTATATTCATAACACCTAAGACTATCTTCACTAATACTCAAGGTTTTCGTCACATTAACTACATTGTGCTGCCTTTTCTACAACAGAAATTAAATTAGGGAAACAACATACCACAGCTACATGGCCCAAGTTGTACCAGACGTCAGCTGCCTCTTCCTCGTTTTCGGCCAGAGAAAGGGCACGTTCAAACGAGGTCAGAGTCATATCATACTGCTGGGCATAGAAGCAGCAGAGCCCCAGATTGTTAAAAAGCTGGCAGTTATAAACACCCATCTGCAGGAGTCGCCTTTTTGAAAAGAGCACACAAATTCTGGTGTCAGACCAACTTTATAAACATTAAAACATCTTATATACATAGATATGTTAACCGCTAGGAATAAACTCATTTTATAATTTTTAACATTCCCTAAGACAAGAAAGTAACGTTACATGAAAACATTTTAAAGCAAATGCAAAGGCATGTCTTCTATGATGGTACTAGTCATGGGAAAAGTGTCCAGAGGCAAGGTCAGAAACCAATTATGTAAGTTCTTTCCACAAAAGCTTTGATAGAAAACCAAAATAAGAAAGAGTCGCATACAGTAAGACCCACATATTTCTGCTTCATAAAGCTTTGGTGCCCATAGGCAAATTCCTAACTTAACCTAATTTGAGGACTGTGTTTATTCACATATCACCTCCGAGCTCTCAGCTGATTTGGAACCCATATTTTGGTTTACCTGTATTGCATGATTCAGCTGTGTCTACTGACCTCCCATGAGCTTCTACTAAGGAAGACAAGCCTACCGGTAATTACTACATTATCCACTTAGCTTTCAGGTGCAGCTCAAGAACCCTATTTTTCTTCTAGGCATCATTCATTTCAAAGGACCACAGATGAGAGAGTTGAAATAAGCAAATGAAAATGCAGCCCAGGTCGGCTGAGCACCCCGAGACCCACTCTGAGAGTTGGGGAGTAGAATCAGCTGTATATGCACAGGACTGGTCATACTATTGTGTTTTATGCTTTAATGTCTATTTGGAAAGAAATCTTGTCAGTCGTCAGTTATCTCCTGGCATATTACCCATGGGCTGAGGAGGAACTCATAATTTAAAAATTAAATTTGAAAACCTAAGTATAAAATAAGCATGCACTCAAAAGAGAGCCAGTGAACAGAATTTATTTTGACTTTGAAAACTACGTTTGGCATCAATTCCAAAGAGCACCTGCACCCCTATGTTTATAGCAGCACTGTTTACAATAGCTAAGCTTTGGAAACAACCCAAATGCCCAAAAATAGATGACTGGATCAAGAAGATGTGGTACATATACACCATGGAATATTACTCAGCATTCAAAAAAGATAAGCACATGCAATTTGCAGCAACATGGATGGCGCTGGAAGGGATCATGCTCAGCGAAATAAGCCAAAAAGAAAAAGAAAAATACCGGATGGTCTCACTCATAGCAGGAATCTAGAAAACTTAAATAAGGGACCAGGAAAATGAATAACTATAAGAAAGTGAAAATCAAAATCAACAAAAAACTATGAACCAGAGACACTTTATAGGGGGTGGTGGGCGGGGAGGGAAGGGATTGGGGTCAAAATAAGGGGGTTGCAATTGTATGGGGAATATAAAAATAAAATTTATTTAAAAAAAAAAGAAAACTACATTTGGGCAAGACTTGACAATACTTCACAAAACAGGTGATTGTTTCAGGTCCTCACCAGGGTCAGAATCTGGGGTGCACTGCTCCTTGCAAATCTGGACACTATTTCAGTTGGAAGGTTTTCAGATTATGTTTAGTGATGTTAATGGAGGCAGTGATGGTAAGAATTTCCAGTAACAAACTGTTAAGGGTTGATGACAAAGTGACTAACTCAAAAAGCGATGTGGTGTTTAAAACTCTGCTATCCAGGTGCTCCCGTCAGATGCCAAAGATCTACACATTTCTAAATGATTGATGTCACTTTAACACCAATACAGAGTATTTTAAGTGTTTCTCACATAGACACGGCCTATCCTTTATTTCTCTACTTTCTCATCCCATCTCTATTATTGCTATTATTGTTATTAATTTTCACAGGAAAGCAATTCTCCAAGTTGAAGATGAAGCGCACCTGTAAAACCGGAGAGCTATTTCTGGTTGGTCCGAATAAAAGTGGTTGCTTCCAATGCATGCAATGGCTTCCACGTGAGTATTGTCTTGCTTCAAAACTTCTTTGTAGTATTCGGCTGCTGATGAAATATTGTTCATTTCCTATTCCCCGGCAAGACAAAAGGACAATCCTTGATTAATATTTCCAAGAAGTTATTTTTTGATGGGTTTATGTTCATTCATTCAACAATTATTGAGAGAGTATGATGTGCTAGATTCTGTTCTAGGCCCTGGAAACACAATACAAACTAAAATATAAAATTACCATAACAAGGAGTTTCCTTCAGATAGGAAAGATAAACAGGTGAACAAATATGAGACACACTGTCAGCTTGGTGGCATCACATGAAGAGACACAGGACAGGGTGAGGAGAGGGAGTATGGAGAGGCTGCTTCAACAAGGGTTGCCCAAGGAGTCATGGGGAGGAGGCACTGCATGAACCACAGCCTGAATGAATCAAGAAGTCATGACCTGATGACACTGGCAGGGGAAAGAGCAGCTGCTGGAGCCCAAGGTGGGAACACCCTTGCCACGTGCAAAGAGCCACACATAGGGCAGTGAGGCTGCAGAGCAGGTGAGTGGCACAGATGGCCTGGTAGGAACTTCAGATTTATTTTTAGGCGGCCTTGGTGGCCTGGTAGGAACTTCAGATTTATTTTTAGGTTGAAGGAAAGCCATTAGAGTCAGAAGCAGAGGAATAATGTGGCTTGTGTTTACATTTTAAAGAGTGACCACACACAGGGTCATGGTAACCACACACAGAGCATGCCAGTGGGGAAGACTGGTAGCAGGGAGACCAGAGTCTCCTTCATCATCATGAACTATGCATTTGTTATTAATGAAGGTTAAGTCTCATTTGTCCATGCACAGTAACATTCATTGCTTATAGCTGAAAAATATTTTAAAGATTTTTCAAAACATAAGACTGATGACACAATTGTTGGTGAATTGTGAGTTCATATCCTTCTGAATTTTACACTGTTTTTATTTGCAACTGCTCCAAATATTAATATTTTAACATAAAAACCCACTTAAAAGTATATAAAAATTGTGAATTTCAATAGAAATGTACTTTCAATATTTTGATGGTACAAAAGCCTTGAGAAATTTACAAGGAAGAACAAAGAAGCATCTTAACTCAGCCCCCTATCACCTCATCTATACTCATTCATCAAATCCTTCCTGGCTAGGATGGAAATGTTTGTGTACCCCAAAATTCATATTCAAGTTCTAATTCCCAATGACCATATTAACCAGACTCTTTTTAATGAAGCATTTCTTTCCATTTTGTTTACCATGTAAAAATACTACAAGATTATCCTTATATATATCTTTGTATACTATATGAAAATATCCTTAAGGAAAATTTCTAGAAGTAATATTTTGAACTGAAGTACATGCACATTTAAAGGTCTCATCAGCAACTGCAAAGAGCCTCCAAATGGGCTGTATCAGTATGTACTCCCCGCAACAATGTCCACATGTGGTGTTTGTCCTTCATGCCATGCACAACCCTAGATGCTGTGGAGCTCATTCATCTTTATCAACCTGATGAAGTCATTACTGTCTTAGTTATTACTGCTTTAACTGTGACTTAGGTTAAACATTCAACACATTACATACTTTTATTTCTTTTTCTGTGAATTTCCAACTCATGACCTTTGCCCATTTTTCTATCCTATCTTTTGTCATTTTATTATTGATTTGTGTGTATGCAGGGGCTTGGTGGGAAACTGTCCTCCTGGACAGAGGAGAGCTGGAGGCAGAGGTCTGGTTCAGGGATACCCAGGCACTTACTGCTTTCTCCTTCCAGATGAAATGAACCTGTGCTAACTTCAGTTCAAAAACCAGCATGGCCCAGTGTTGTAAACATTCCCTTCAAAGGAAAAGCAAGAGAGCTTGGTTAGCTCTTCAGAAGAGGTGTCGGTATGACCAAAATGCTGCTAGCATTTGGCTGTTGTCTCCTTTCTGAGACTCACAAAAAATTCATTTGTGATTTTACTTGCATGGAGAGGGGTCAATGGCCACTGTGTTGGCTGGTAAGAAAACAAGGGCCTACATAAAAGCCATACCATGATATATTGATCCACAAGTGCTCTGAGGAAACACCTAGTTTCTCCACATTCATAAATGGATGTGCAAGTGTATTTTTTTTGGGGGGGGGGGTAATTTTACCACCAATATGTAAACCTTCTAAAATCCAGCAATTTTTAAACTACATGCAGACCTAGGAAATTAAAAAGCAACCTTTTGTCTATCCCAGGTATTGGCAAGCATTTTCCTCATTTAATATTTTTACCTCTGTTGCTTTGTTTTCATTTGCTCTTACTTGTATTTTTGTTTTTACTATATAGAAAATGTATTAATATTTTCTATTATAGTTTTCAGACTGTATCAACCTTATACAGGTCTTTACCATCCCAAGTTTATACAAAAAATTCATTTGTGTTTTCTTCTGGAACTTCATAGTTCATAAATCTTCTAGTCACCTGATAGTAATGACTTCTTTCAGTTAAAGGAGTCATTACTCATCCAAGTTTATTTTTATCTAAATATTTATAAATAATCCAATCATCTAATTGGATTAATAGGCATCTTTATAACATCACAAATTTTCATGAATCTATGTGGACTCTATTTTGGTCTTTTAATCTATTCCTGTATCAGAACTGTTGAAATTATAGTAGCACTAAAATAAATTTCATTAAGAAAATTTAATATAATATTTTCAATTGGATAAATGCCAAATATATAAACTGTGGCATCACTTAAGTGATCTTTATGATGGTTATTTTTGAACCAATTTACAAAACACTAACTATAATTATGCTTTCAATTATTAATATGTAATTGAAAATATCTTAAGAAAATAAATGTTGTAGTATGCTTCTCAAAGCCCACAATACATCAGAATCACCTCATTAGCCTGCTAAACATACAAATGCCCCACAGGACACTTCATTCAGTGGAAAATGGGCTTCACTTCTCAGACACTCTCAAAGTCATTTTTATACACTGTAAAATTCAAGAACCACTAGAATAATGTTTTCTAGGATAATGTTTCTAATGTCAAACACCTTGTAACAAAGAAAATTTCAAATAATGACTTGTCTTTTGAATGGATAAATAAAATGCCTCAAGAAAAACTAAAACAACCATCAAATAAATTTAGCAAGGAGAAATCATTTCTGTACAAAACAAGCAACAAACAATAGGTAACACCCAATGTATTCACTTTATTTATTCACTTTCAAATAGAAAACATGGGCCTCCCTGGTGGCACAGCGGTTGAGCGCTGGGCTGCGAAAACTGCCTGCAGCCTCTGCAGCACCAGTTCGATCCCCGGCCGCCAGCGAGGGTCCCACATGGCACGCAGACCTCTCCTGCCGCGCCCGCTGCTCCCCTCAGCAGTGTACTTTGTCAGTCTGCCTGTTCTGCTCCCCGCTCTGTCTCTGGTGAATCCTCTCACTCTCCCGCGCTTCTGACTATACCCTAGTGCTTGTATAAATAAATAAACCTTTAGAAATAAATAAATAAATAAAATAGAAAACATTTAAAAGATACAAGACCAAAATGAAAGTTATAAAAACAAAAGCACATAAAGAAAGCGATCCTTCCAGAGAAAAGCATGATGGGTACACAAGCACCCCTAAAGGTATGTATAGTGTAAGCTATAAAACTAAAGAATAAAGTTTACTAATTAACGCTAAATTCTCTGCCACATAAAAAGAAAAAAAGCACACTGGAAATCTCTCTTTGCACAGTAAATATGGTCAACGGGGAAATGAACCATGTAAATTCAAGAGGGAACACGGTATATTACTATTTCAAGTCTATGCTTATTCTTGACCACCCTATTTGTACATGTCAAATTCTCCTCACAACTTGGATATTTTCGTCTCCATTTATTTCTTCCAAGCAAACTCAGATTCTCATTTTCTCCCCTGCACCTTTATAAATTGCCAGGTTCCTCCAACTCCTGGCCAAATCCAAAGCCCGGAAGGGAGGAAGGCAGCTGACCATGGAATCCACTCCAGAGGCACTTCCTGTCCCAGTCATAGCAACAGTGACTAGAACAGAAGGTTGAAAGTAATTCTTCCAACAAGCAACCATACATTAAAGAAAAGACACTCTAGCTTTTTCTGCCAGCACTTTCTACCTAAGAAGAGAAGAGAAGAAGGACTAACTGTACCAAAGGTGGAGCTTAAAGCTTAAAGAGCTCCAATAACAATAGGATACTCATCACTATGCATAAATTCCACTGCTTTCAAAAACTGACTCTATTTTTCTTCCTTTCTAAACTGCTTGGTCAAAATTTTGTTCATGTTGTGGAATCTATTTTGACTCAAGCCTGTTGTGTCAATCAAGACTCTGCCATGTTGAGACTTCTAGGTGAAAATTTAACAGCCTGACTCAGCAATTTAATGACCATGAAAAAACAAGAGACCACAGTGGCAACACACAACAGTTTTTTTGTCTGAAGACTCTTCTAAGCCAAGCATGGACAGGCAAATGGACTTAACCACCAATCCAAAAAGTTTCAAAACAAATCACTTAAGCTCAGACCACTTCACTGCCTTAAGTCTCCCCTGTGCCTGGGCCCTGCTGGAACACACCTTGCGAGACTGCCCCTTGGTCATAGACCAGATCATGATATCTATCCTCAAATAAGTGCTCTTTTTATTATATAACAGCCCAATTTAGGGTCACACTGAAATCAGGGTCAGGGCTTGTTTTCGCAAAAGGTGGTCAAAATTTGTTCTATAAAATACTTGTCTCATAATGCCTCATTTCTTGTTTCTCACAACTCCTCCCATCTCCTGTTTATTTTAATCTTCTGATTAGTTTGCAAAAGCAGCAGAGCTTAACCAGAGAAAAAACAGTTGGAACAAAATTAACAGGTCTTTTACCAAGTTGTGTTCCAGAGAACACAAGCACAGAGGAGTGTAAACTGAACTCAAGTTCTCTCTTTCATGTCCAGGATGAAAACTGTTGCTGAAAGCAGGACCATAACACTCAGCTCATAATCTAGGGGATAGCATTTCAAAGCAAGAAGTTCATCACTGCTGGAAGAACTGCCAGGAGCTGATTCAAAGCGGAGGTCCACTAATAAGCAAGTTCTGGTGGCCTGTCATGCAACTGACCATATATGGACACATAAAGAAATGACCATCAGACCTGCCAACTTGTTTTTCTCTATATCTCTCTTTGTTCCCCAACCCTATAAAGATTGCCCAAGCCCTCACCATCAAGGAAATAATTTGAACCTTGCCTCTAATATCCTTGCTGGTGGACTTTGCAATAAACTTTCTTTTCTCAAAAAGCCAGTGGCATAGTTATTGGATTCTGGGTACATCAGGCAGCACAACCACATTTAGCAACACAAATAAAGCTACAGAGAAATTGATGTAGTATTTCCATTGAATGATCAAGTATTCCATTTACATGTTTACCAAAATTATATTTCAAAAGGGGAAACAGTATTTCAAGCCAATTCAAAATATTTTTGGTTTTCATTTTATTTTTGTATGTGTGTATGTGTTTCATTTTAAAAGTAATAACATGTTCATTACAGAAAATGTGGAAAATATAGTTAAAAAAAGAAAATAAAAGCATTCATAGTCTACTACCCAACTATAATAATAAATACCTTCCCATTCTATTTCTAACAAAATTTTAAAAAATCATCCTAGCATTTCAAGAAATTTAAAAGAGAACAGAGATGCTTCTGTTCAATATTGTACTATAAGTTCGAAACAATAGGATATGAAAAAAGTAAAATAATTTAAATGAAGAGCTAAAACCATACAGATTGTGATTATTTTATCACTTAAATATTTAAGAGAACCTATGGATAAGGTACTAAAATTTAAAAGGAATATTTACCCAGGTTGCAAGTATCAAACCAACTTTAAAGAAAGAATCACATAGAAAAATAAGAAATATTTCATCCATAGTTATACCTAGGAATACATCTATGCAAAAAAGAATTAACACAGCAGGTCTGAGATGTTATTCTTTGAAAGGCCAGTTTACAAGGTTGGCCCTTGGGTGACATCTGAGAACTTCCCTACATTAATATAAAACTTTCCCCAAATGGGTGATGCACTATATTCAAACTATTAGTATAATGTGGCTTATGCTGAACACTGCTTTACTTTTTAAGAGTCTGGGATTTGGTACCTGATAGGCAGAGTCTGGGATTTGGCACCTGATAGGCAGAATGCCAGTGATAACCTTGTATATCAAGATTCTAGTGAGCTTCCCTGATAGACAACACTGTATACATGTTGTCATAACTCTTTGCTGGAAGAATTAAATGTGCTCTGTGTGATTCCACTGAAAGAGGACTCTTGGAAACTTACATCTGGTTTCTTCTTAATTTTGCCTATATCCATTGGATTCTTCTAGTAAATCATCAAACTTCAAGGTAGCTTTAGGGACCCCCACTGAAACATCTTTATGGAGATAATATTTGTCCAAGGAAAGGAAAGAAGGCCTAAGTAAATGGAGAGTTGTATCATGAGAGAATGAGAAGAAAGATTGTCTATTCCACACCTCATCATTCAGATTCAATGCAACTCCAACCAATATACCCACGAGGTTATCTTTTTAATAGTTTTTCATAAGTCAATCCGATAATCAATATGAAAAAGCAAAGGGTTAAGAATAACCAACTGTGAAGGTCAACAGGTGGTAAAATGTGCCCAACCCAGTATCAGAAATTACTGTAAAGCTATAGTAATTAGGCAGCAAGGAAAATATCTCAATGGGGCTTTTTGTGGAATTTTGCCAAGACATTTCTGATACAGATGATCAAAATGACTTACCAAAAAATTTTATAAAGCTCTAATATGCAGTATAATATTGGTACAAGGATAGACATCCCAATAAAACAGAACAGAAAACAACCCCAAAATATATCTACCATATATAGGGGAAAAAATGATATTTGACATCCTAGATGTTGAGATAAGGATCAATAAATATGGTGGGACAACTAGCTATATATTAATGGAAACTAGCTTTATCTTGATCACCTGCCATTCTCTATACTCTTCTGTGTATTTGAAATACTTCATAATAAATATAAAATAAAATATAAAAAATAAAACATACTAGATTAAAAATAAAACATACTTCATAACACAAACTTCATTTGACTAAGTATATACATTAAAATCTCTTACTCTGTTGGTAAATCACAAGTCATCATAATTTCATTTTCAAGGACCCCAAGGGACTATAAACATATTACTTAAAAAAGAATTGTTTTGCTTTGTTTGTTACTGAAGTATGAGATCACAGGGCAAGTATGCATGATAACTTTTCAATTTTTACCTTACATACTTTTGAAAATACAATTTTATTTCTATAAAATTGAGGTTTCAATTTTACGTGAACTTCTTAAGTAAGATGAGTCTTACCTCATAGATTCTGGCAATTCCACAAAGTAGAGTTACTTCTCCTGGAAATTTTTCTAAACCTTGTTTGAAAAGACTTAAAGCAGTCACAGGTTGATCCAGTGAGATGTATACCTAAAATCAACATTTCAATAAAATTACTGGTTCCTAAAATGATAGTATTTGCTATAAAGAATTTATAAATTATTGCTTAGTAAAAGGTTATTTATAAATTATTGCTTAGTAAAATACTGTAAACATTTTTCAGAAATGTGTATAATTTCTAATAATTATGCTATAGTTTTATTTCCACATGTTTTATATGAAACATACATTCATTCATCCCTTCATCAAATGCTTATTGTGGGCTTACTTGTGTCACCAAGAAGAAACAGTAACTAGACAAGAATCAAGAGAAAAATCATCTTTTTAAGACAATATACTAAAACTAGCACAGTAAATTTATACTGTGTAACTTTCATTTTATTCCTCTGTAACATACTAATTTTTAATTTTATACCATATTTAGCCAACAGGGGCGCTTGCTTTTATATCTTGTCTTCTTTTGAACCTCCTTTACCACACTTTTTTATTTAAAAATAATCTAAAGATACAATCAGATGTCATAACTACCATGTCATCAAGAACAACTTTTAAAGCAGTGGTGGTAGAGACAGGTAGTAACTTCATCCCAAAATGAAAATTCAAGGTGGCCTTTCACTTGTACTAAGATTGTGGGTAGCACTATGGGGCAGTGATAAGTTCTAGAATCAGAAAGACCTAGGTTGGAATACTGGCTTTTAACATCCAAGTGACCCTGAAAAAAATTTATCCTCTATAAATCTCCTTTTCCTTAAGACTACAAATGAAATGGTAAAACCTACCTAGCAGGGTCACCGTGAAGGTTAAATTAAACTGCATTTGGAATGAACCTGATATACCTTACACTAAATGGGTCCTTGATGCAGGAGACATGTTGTTTTGTTGGCATGGCAGTGCTTAGCAATGCATGAAAAGAATCTCTGCATCTGCCTTGGTGAGAGATAAGTGTGTCGCAGACAAGAGGTTCTCTCTGGGGCCTGTCACCCTTGGGGATGCAAAGTTAGCCTGAGACATTTTCCTAATGTGCAATTCTTCAAATGGGTGTTCTTATTTTCATGGCAATCAGTTTCTCCTGAGATGGTTCCTTTCCATATGTTCTCATTTTTCCCTTGCTACAAAGAAAAGTAAGTTGGAACATATTAACTTGCCAAATATTCCTGAAGAAACTGGCAACTCTCCCCATGCAGAATTTAAACATTTATTCTAAGAAGAGGGATTTCACTCAAATTAAGAATCCTTACTTACTTTTGCCAAGTAGAGAAATGTATCTATCATTTCCTGCTGTTTCAGGGCTGATTTGAATTGTTTTTCTGCTTCACGATACATTCCTAACCTAAGATGAGCCATTTGAAAAATTAGACATTCAACTTAAAAATAAATACTGCAGTATTAATTACTGGGAATATGAATAGAAACAAATTACATCTATAAAAGCAAGCATGTACCAAAGAAGGTGATATCTCACACACACACACACACACACACACACACACACACACACACATATTAACACGTATGTTTATACAGTTTAGCAAAAGTTGCCTATTTCCCATATCCACTGTCTATATAATGCTCAAATGCTGTACAGGGAGTCTGTTGGAAGCCCAGTCACAGCAGGACTAAGAGCTGTCAGTCAGTCAGGTAAGACCAGTTCACACCCAAAGAGCTCTGAGCAGCTGGACATAGGACAAGGGACCCAAATAAATGCTTAGTCTCCATTTTCATCTGAAGAACTGAAGGATGACATTCCTTTGAAAACATCTGCTCTGAGACAAAAGCCCATTTTTAAAAGCAATATTTAAACAATTTTGATGTAAGTAGTAATTGCTACTCGAGTAATGGAGTTATACCATTTTACAATTTAGAAATATTTTCCTTTCCTTTTTTTGTTCTAGATACTGATTGTTCTGGTCTACGAATTTGAGACTTGTTCCTAGATTAACTATAACTGTCCTAAATGTCAGCAACCATCTCCTCTGCTGGGGGAACATGCTGTCAGTACTAAATCAATCACAAGAGCACACTGCAGCCTGTCAGGCTTGCTCATACCTACTCATCCCTTGCCATCTAAGAGCTATTTAGGTACTTTATGATCATGCCTTTATTTTGTGACCTAAAGTCAGAAAAATACACAGTATGTTTATTTTGCTACCTTCATAAAGACCTGAAAGAATAACTTTGACCTTTTCTGACCTAAGTCTCAAGCACTGGTGTGGATATGCCCAAACATTGCTGGAACACTAGGCATGAAAGGGGTTAAACTTGACACAAACACAAAAACTGGCTTAAGTTAGATGATAAGTGATATGGCAGAAGCCTCTACCTCTTCAAAAAGCCATATAACTTTCACAAGGAATATAACTTTCACAAGGAGTACTCATAAAATTTTATCAAAGAATGCTAAATTGTTCTGGAAAACAGCAAACTTGTATACATTACTTCCACTGAGCATGCAAGTCTTAAGCACAGGCTGAAGTTTAGTCACTGAAGCCCATGAACACCTAATTATCCATGACAGTCTGTATAATTTTACCTACTAAGTTGTCTCTTCAATGATTTAAGAGATTATAATAAAGACACCTCTAAGAAAACAAAAATAGAATAGTTTTTTTTTTTTTTAGAAAACCAATGGAGATGGAAGTATAAGAAATTTTAAAGGATAAGAAAAAACCAATCAGAGCTACTGCGCTAACTGGAAACCAAAGGAAGAAAGACCGGTCATATGCTTTGTATTAATGAATTGTCAAGTTATAATTTCCAGTACTATCAGAAATGGAATTTACCACAAGGGTTCTTGTGCAAGGAAATAGGGTAGGCCACATGTGAAGAAAGTCTAGGAGTAATGAGAATAGCAGCCAAATTCATAACATGTCAACAGAGTCAGAGTCCAGAGAGAAAGGCCAGCAACTGCCAACTTTTTCTTTCCAATTTAATTCAATAAACTTTATGCTTCATTTCATGATGCACATTTCATGATGGTAAGGAGATGCAAAAGTGAAGATAAAAACCATATCCTGAAGGCACTAATAAAGATGGAGACAAAACATGTTCACAAATAAATTTAATTGCATTATGGCTAAAGGAGAAGGAAAAATTGCCTTGAGAGCACAGAAAGAGAAGAAGCAAATCAAGATAGTTTCAAGGAGGAAGGGACAGCCAAGATTTTGACAGCTAGATAGGATGGTGTGGGAATAGGAGCCATTTTATTTTATTTTTTTTTTTAAGATTTGTCTATTTATTTATATAAGCACTGGGTACAGTCAGAAGCGCGGGAGGGTGAGAGAATTCACCAGAGTCAGAGCGGGGAACAGAACAGGCAGACTGAAGAAACACACTGCTGAGGGGAGCAGTGGGTGAGACAGGAGAGGTGTGTCGCGCCATGTGGGACCCTTGCCTGTGGCTGGGGATTGACCCGGCGCTGCAGAGGCTGCGGGCAGCTTCGCAGCCCAGAGCTCAACTGCTGCGCCACCAGGGGAGGCCTGGAGCCATTTTAGATAGAAGCAATCTATGAGCATAAGCACAAAGAAAACAATGTTCAGAGCATGTGAGAGCAATGCTGAGTTGTTAGGTCTAACTGAAAAAGAGGTCATAGTAAGGGATGAGAGAAGTAAGAGATATAGGCAAACCTGTAGATGGGACAAGACCATGAGTGCCACACTTAAAACTGAACTTCATTCTTAAGGTAATGGAGATTAACTAAAGAATCCAACAAAAGGTTGTTTGTTTGCAACAGGAACTCTAACAGTAGTGTGCAGGAAGCATTGACAGGCAAGAATACGGCAGCAAAAACACCAGATAAGAAGCTAATGGAACAATTCTAACAAATGACACGAGAAGCCAAAGTTAAGGTACTGGAGTGGGAATGGGTAGTAAGGGAAAAACGGTAAGAGCTATTGCAGAGGAAGAACTGAGCCCTAATGATCTGGAACAAAGAGGCAGAGTCAATCTGGGGCTACATCTCTGGCGATGTATCCTTGACCTCTCCAGTTGAAACTAGAGCACTATCTCTGTGTCCCCAGTGTATCCTTCACTTGCTCTGCCATAACAGGAGTCATGCTTAGAAGTGTTTTCTGTCCTCTTACCTATATTTGACTGTAAATATTTGAAGAAAGGAACCTTCTGAGGCTCAATTTTTCTCACCAGAGAAAGGGCTAAAATAGCAACTACCTCCAAGGTGCTGTGAGATCCAAGTGAGATAATGCAATGCATGGACAGGGTATGTTTTAACTACAACATTCTTTACGGAATAAGGCATCCTTGGAAATAAAAAAAAAAAAAGACTTGAGAGCCAAGAGGAGCTGACTGGAAATCAACAAACCCTATTCTAGGCCCAGGTCTGTTACTAATTCCTGATGCAAATTACAGCCACTATCTGGCCTCAGCTCCTTCATCTGAAAAGGTCTATTGGACCTAATCATCTCAGAGTTTCTCCTTCTACCTCAAAAATTTCACTATTCTCAAGGTGTTCTTAAGGCTACCAAGTGATTATTAAATAAATGCTTTCTCAAGCCAAAGACACAATTCATTTTTCTTGAGAAAAACTATCACACACAGACAAAAGTTAACAGATTTGAGATTCTAAAATATGCTGCCACTTCTAAACCTTCAAGTAATCAAAATTTTACCTGTAGTAACATTTTCCAATCTGCACTTTCCACCACCAGTCCTTGTACTGAGAATGCTCTGTAGAAAGGGCAGCCAAATCCAAAGCCTTTGAAAACAATTCATTTTCGATTAGGATTTTCTTTTCTAACAATAAACAGAAACCATAAATAATGAAATAAGCCATGTAATTAGCATCGATCAAAACATGCACTAGAAATCAGAAGCTCAGGGTTGCTCGTGTTTCCAGATGGCCCCACCAATTTTCCCTAAATAATCAGTTCCAGACCAGAGGGCTGACAGCAGATGAGAAATAAACACTGATCAAGGGAAGCAAATGTACAATATATTTTAATACAATTTTAATCATCAAATAAAAATTTCCTATTTAAAAAATCCATTAAGTTTTCACCTTCTCCCCACCAAAATGCCTCCGAACAGAGGTGGGCAAGCCTTTGGTGGGTTATCCAGGTTCATTGCAGGCCACACTTTAAAGACAGATGTAGGGAAATAGAAAAAGATAAGCAAGCAGACAGACAAAGGTTTAACAGGATCACAAAGGGTGACAGGAGCCAAGGTCGCTGAGTAGTGGCCCTTCTTGGTCACCATTGTTGCATTATTCAGACATCACCTTACATTTAAAAAAATCTAAGGGCCAGGCTTTCCTCAGCTGCAAGTTGAAAAAGATCTTCATTGCTTTCATATTTTCCATCAGTGATTGATCCCTTTCTAATGTCTTCTAGTTTGTTCCTCCCAGTGGTCATTCAGGATCAGACAAGAGATGACTAAATAGGAACTAGGGTTTTGCACAGAGGAAGTGGGAAACATCTGGACAAAGAGCAAAGTGTAAGTCAATCTTACACAAATTGAAGCTCATGTAAAGATTTGGTGAATTAAAATTTAGTTATTAGAAGAGACTTCTGATTCTTTATAATATTTATTCTTTCTCTCAAGGTTTAAAAGCGTTTATTCTTTCTTCAGTATCAGTATGACCATGATATCCAAAGCTCAGTTACAATAAGTATTATGCTTTCAGTTATCTCAGACTGCATGCCCTTATTATTGTCCATTTCTTAATATTAATGCTTTTCTGAAATGAATCCCAGAAGAGTTCTTTGCATCTTTACTGTAAAATTCATAACTTCTCTCGTGTTGCTCATCTTCTCTTGCTCCAGGGGAGATTTCTAAATATGCATACTACTTACAAAGGAATGGTGTCACCATGCTGGGGTTCTAATGGACTTGAAAAATCAACACATCTACTTGCAAACTATGGAAATTAAAAACAAGCCACATACTATTTTCATATGCTTATTTTTCATTTTTCCCCAAGCCAAAAATAAAAATGGATGCAAAAAATAAGGAAAAGAGTATAATTTCAATTATTATTATCTCTGGAAACACCTGAAAATGTATTTTCAGTCAATTCAATTCAGTACATGGTAAATATCTGAATATGTTAATTTCTAACTTTATTTTTATAAAGACCTTTTCCAGCAAATAGATCATATTCATTCCATATAACTGACCTTATATTTTTTGGAAAAATATGCCTTTTTTTACATATACTAATTTCTGAAAGTTGGACTTAGTACTTTTTAGTACAGCACAATCTTGCTGATTTTGCTATTAGATATGGTATTGAAAACAAGTCTTCTATGTAGGAACCATATTTGTGCTAAGCCCATTAAACAAATATGAATTTTGATATAGAATAAAAATGGTAAAGAAATTACATTTTATGAACATTCTCACGTGAGAACTGAGGCTGCATTAGACAAAACCATTGGTAACAATTTCAAATGCACCTTAAGTTCCCTGAGGACGGGAATCCCTCTTACCCATTTGTATGGCATGTTACTACACTCCAAAGATGCACTCAAGAATTATTTATTGGTTGAATTAATTCTTTTCATTGTTTCTGATTTACATTGAAAATAAGAACCAAACAAAACTATCACAGTAGTAAGATTCTTTAGTAAACACTATTAACATTTTTAAATGGTGATAAAAGTTCTTCAAAGTCTTTCCCACTTTTTTAAAATAAAAGACCATCTACTTAAATTTAAGGATCTTTGAATAATTTAATTAACCCAGTATCTAAATATTAATAAACGTCTAGAATTTCATAAATAAAAGATATAAGTTTATAAAAGTTCATAAGTAGAGGGGAGCTTGACATTTAGACAATATAATGTTTATAAATATGACCAACTGGGTGTCCCAGTGAATTTCATGTGTATTAGTACTCCAACCAGTAATATTTAAAACAAATAAGTCATCCTTTCACTATTGGTACAGTTGCAACAAATTCAGGATGATGAAATTAAAGAGCATATGGAAATAAAGATTCCAGAATCACCAACCCACATGCCACTCTCATTTTGTCAATACTGCCAATGTCACCCCAAAAATGGGAGGGTGGAAGAGGAGTTATTAAGAACACAAATGCAGAAGTTCAGTTTTCCATAGAGCAAATTTACTTTTTCCTGACATTTAAATACTTCTTTATAATACCCTCTATGTTTATCTACAGTATTTATCTTTAGACAAATATAGAATCACCAGCCCATATGCCACTTTAGTTTTATCAATATTGACCCCCAGAAATGGGAAAAGTGTTAACTCAAAGGCAGAACTATAGTTTTTCATGGAAAAGCAATTCTTTCTTAACATTTAAATACCACTCACAGTATTCTCTACACTTGTCTACAGTATTCTCCATCTTCGTGTGAAAGTTACTTACAAAGAAATTTGGAGGAAGCCCAAAATAACTAGTATAAATGTACCTCTGATCTCCTAAACATGCTAAAAATGACTTGCTTTTCTCTTTTTTCAGCTAAAGCTAAAAAATATACAAAAGGCATAAAAATGCATGCTTGTGTTCATAATATAAAACCTCTTTCCGTTCAGAAAATAACATCTGTGATAAATTCTAAATGACATTTTAATGGAATAATATGATCTATCAGAGAACTATAATGTGGCAAGCCCAAAACAGAGCAAGAAAACAGGCACATCTGTCTACTCAGTAGTCCCAGCACCCACCACAGTGCCAATATGTCAGCACTCAGTAGTTATTTTAAAAAAATAACCCAATTGGAGTCTCCCTGGTAGTGTAGGGGTTAAGTCTCAGCACTATCACCTGGACAGCCTGAGTTCTAACCCAGCCAGGGAGCTAATCCACATATGGCACAGCAGACCTTTCCTGCCTCTCCCACTGCTCCCCTTATTTGTGTATTTCAGTAGGTCTGCCTGTTCTGCTCCCCACTCTGTCTCTGGTGAATCCTCTCATCCCCCTGTACCTCTGGCCTATAACCCAGTTATTCTAATAAAAACAATTATTTGTTAAAAACTCTCCTTTCTCCATTGAATAGCTTCTGTACCCTTATAAAAAATAAATAAAATAAAAAATAACCCAATCAATAAATTAATGAATGAGAAGAAAACCATGAACAGCACATTTCACTAAATAAAAACAAATTGCTTAATTTTGTGTTCTATACAAAAATGTGTATGTATTAGTAACAAACATGAAAATAGCAAAAGAGATAGAATTATAAGCATTTTAATACATTTTTGATCCTAATTTATAACTAAATTAATAAATGAAAAGTTGTTAAAACATTATTAAAATTTTTGGGGAAAAACAGCAAAGTTAGAATTAATCTCCATTAGTGCCAGGAGGTGTAGCTATTTTATTTTCTGTTGCAATCCATGCTAGTGGCACAACGAGCACATTCAACAAATATTTGTAGAATTAATACATTGAACCTCATATTATTTTCATTTTTAAGTAGTATCTTTTAACATGTCATAAGTATTTTTTTTAAGTTAGAATTCTACTTACATACTGAATAATATTGTTGACTCAACATTCTATTTTTTGTTTCTACCTTATTTTTATAATGATGATTTTTAAAGGTTATATAAAATTCCAGCATGCAATTTTATTATAACTTACAAACTCATCTTCTATCACTTAGGTTACTTTTCAGGTTGTTTTGTTATAACAACTAATGCTACACTAAATATTTTTGCCAATATAGCACTTTACTTTTTCATGATTTCTTGAGAAGTAAAATTACAGAAACAAAATGAATAAGTATCTTTATAGCTACCTATCATATAGTAGTGTTTTCCTATTACTGTACCATTCAAAATCTATTCCATTATTTTTTTCAAATTTCATGTATGTAAAATTGTAGGTCCAAAGTTTCTTTATTTTACATTTTTGTTATTAGTAAAAAAAATGTATCTCCAATATGTTTAACTAGCATTTTCCCTAATGTAAACTTTCTTTTTTTTTTTTTTAAATAGAGGCATGTTTTATTTATTTATTTGTTTGTTTGTTTTGTTTATACAAGCACTGGGTACAATCAGAAGCGCGGGAGGGTGAGAGAATTCACCAGAGCCAGAGCGGGGAGCAGAACAGGCAGAAAGACCGAGGTACACTGCTGAGGGGAGCAGCGGGCAGCAGGAGAGGTCTGCGCGCCATGTGGGACCCTCCTCCAGTGTCTGGGGAGCAGCCGGGGATAGAACCGGCGCCGCAGAGGCCGCAGGGAGCTTGGCAACCCAGCACTCAACCGCTGCGCCACCGGGAGGCCCTCTAATGTAAACTTTCTTTTGATCATTTCCACAAGAATTTTTCTAACAAATTCAGACAGAGTTTTCTTTATATTTGACAAATGCTATTTTTTTTTTTTTGGCTTTATAAAGGCAGTGTTTATCTTCACATTTTAATTTATTGAATTTATACAATCAATAAAATTGTATTGATTTACCATTGGTTTACAAAACTATTTAATTTTTAGGATTAAAGCTTCACACCCCCAATATGTGTATAAGTCTCACCACAACTACCACCAAAGTTCTACTGCCATTCCCACCAGCCAACTGATGCCCTCTGCCCTTTCCTCCCATCCTTCTCCCCCTTCCCTCTGATAACCACCATATTTTTCAGAGTCTAAGAGTCACTTTTGCTGTAAACACTAACTTTAAAAGCACACTTAATGTATCTATGTCACCCTTCTTTTGCCCTATATAAGTTTTGTTTCTCTTCACTCTATAGAGTCATATTTAAAACAGTAATTCTTTTCCTTTGTGACTGCTTCATAAGTCCAACCAAATCTATAAAATATCCTATTGTTAGCTAATTTAAATTTGTTTTATTGTTCACTGGTCAAAAATTCAAAAGAATGACTTGAAGCAAAGATGTTTCAAAAAGAGTGAAAATTGTGCCCAAAGTTGATTGTTTCTAGTATATTGAGTCTTTCACTATTTCTATAAATAAAAACATAAAATTTATAAACGGTTCTCAACAGTATTTTGTATTGCTTTCCTATTCCTGATATATTTGAATTATTTTTATCGTCTCTTTTCTCTTAATTTGTTGATTTCCTTCATCAAGCCAGAGGACACACACCCCCAACCCTTCTTGTTAGTTTAAGTAGAGTTCTATCTCTTAAGCCCTATTAATACTCCCAGTTGTATTTTCCTACATTAGAACACCTAGCACTAAAGTCTGCTGTGAACCATTGGTCTTCAAACTATATTCTATATAGTAGTTCCCAATTCTGGCTGAAAATATTCTGCGGAACTTTTATTAACAACAGATTTACTGGATATACTTTTGGGGATTCTGATTCAGGAAGTTAGCATAGATTCAGTAATTCATTACTTTAAAATTCTCCTAGTAATTCACATCATTCTGATTTAGGAGGTACACAGCAGTCCTGGAATTTGGGAGACAGGCATGCAGGAGGTGGAGGTGCAGAGAGCAAGGAGAAGGCACAGTGGTATGTGTTTTTACTCTGCCACTTCTGCTTCATCAAGCAGCTCCATTTTGGACTGTCTTATGTATTAGGATGGAGGTAAGGTGTTTCATTTGAAGAAAATAGCTTTGCTGCTTAAACAAAAACATTGAAACTCACTGTTCTGTTTGTTTAAGATCAAACTCTGTAAAATCAAGGTACATGAAAAACTCCAAAAGCATTTATAATACATATTACGTAAAGGTTAAAGTCTGCTCTCCTTCAAATCTTTCAAATATAAGCTCCGTTAGTGCAGAGCATAAATCCTGTTTGTTTTCAATGTAGCTGCTATCCCTCAACCTTCTGTAAATGCCAAGATGTAGAACAACATTCTCAAGGTGAGTCTATTAATAAAGGTGTCACCATGACCTACAAACAGCAGACAGAGCTACTTTCTGAAGCCTTCACTACAACTTTTCCCCTCTCCGAGCGCACTGCAGTCCTGCTGGCCTCCCCACTGTCCCTCAAACGATGCACACAGGCTCCTAGGCAGGGCTGTGTGGCTAAGGGTCCCCGACTCACTCTCCATGACTGCACAGCTCGTCCCCTTCATTCGCATCCATTTCCCGAGTAGACTTCACTGGCCATCACCTACCCCATCCAAAGTAGCACCATCTCTCATGTCATTATTTATTCCCACACCTGCTTCCCATGAAAACCTTTTTGTTTTTATAGTACATGTTAACCCATGACAGTGCACATATTTTTGAATTTGCTAAATGTCTGTAGTCCTTTCCCAACCAGAACAGACTCTCCCAAAGACAGAGCTTCTGTCTGCTTGCTTCGCTCTACAACTTCAGGGCCTAGAACAGTGCTGACATTCTGCAGCAACTCAAAAAACAGTGAATGAAAGAATAAATCTCTTCAGTCAAAGAATTAATCTCCAAGGAGTCAAGATGTAGCTTTATGATAGGCTAGTAATTATAGAGATTTGCTCATTTATGGAATGGAATGGTACTTGGGTAGTTCCTTTAATGACAGTGTGACTCAACGAAGCGTGAGCCAGCTTGGTATTAATGAAAATGGCCTGCACTGACTTTTATTTACAGAAATGTGCATGTTTCTCAAGAGCCCCAACCTTAGTTTCCTCTTTTTCCTAAACATCACACCCAGCAACACTATGGATCACTACAGTTCATTCTTATATTCCGCTGATCTGCCCTGGCTCTCACTTCACTCATGCCCACGTCTGCACACTTACATGAGACACTCCTTTCACTGCCACAGCTTCCAGTGCATGCAGTAGTATCTCCACTTGACTATTTCAAGTGTGAATATTTCATAATTTCAAACTCAAAACACATTCAAGTGAATTATTCAGCTTCCTTACAAATGACTTCCTTCCCTAACTACCTTATTACTGTTAGTAAAACCACCCCTCATCTCATGACACCTGTAAGAAGCAGATTTGTCCTGTCTGTCTTTCTTCCATATCAAATCAGTCACCAAGTTCTGACACCTTTCTTTGAAACATCTCTTCAATTCTCATTTTTGACTCTATGGCCTATTTATTTCTCATTCCATATTCTGCTCATATTTTGCCCTTTCTTTACATTATTTTCCCTCTTCCCCAAAAATTCTACTTACTTTGTGAATCTGTACTAATATTACCCCTTCTGACTTTTTTTCTCTTTGTTACTCAGTAATAAATTCAAAGTTTGACAATTAACCTCTTTAGTTATTTCATTGTCAACTTTATTTCCTCAGATAGATTGGCTTGGAGAGGCAGGAAAATATATCATATTTTTATTAGTTTCTTCTAGTACATAGCATTGTGGTTGAGACACAGAAAACATAATTGTGAAAAATCTCTTATTTTTTTGAAACTTAATATATGGATATAAAGCTTTTCCCTAACCTAATTGAAAATAAGGAAAAATAATATAGATACTGTGAATTAACTACATTCAATTTGACAAAATTTGTCAGATTACTGTTCATTTGTATATTAGCATGTAAAAAATGAAACAAATGGTTTTATGGTTATATGCCTATAATTGTAAAATTATCTGTTAAGAAGCTACCTAGATGATAACTATTGTCAGAGCTGTGTGATGGGTAACAGGAGGTTACTATACTATTCTTTCTATTTTGTTTATCTGAAATTTTCTGTCATAAAATATTAAAGGGCCAAGAGGAGGTTCATTACAAAGAAATCAGACATACATGTGTAGACTAAAGGGAAAAAAAATGGATCAATAATGGTAACTGTAAGTATAAAAAATAAATTTTAACATAAGCATATTCTCCAGTACGCTCAAGTCTCTACATTTTATCCTTTTTTAAAAGGACAGTTTATGAATTCTTTTTGCCAGAATTGTCTAGCCGTAGTTTCAGTCCCACTTTTCTTTTGGATGTATGATTGCTTTGCTTTTCAATTGTAAGAATATTTCATGCATTACGGATATAAACCTATTATCTGGGACATATTATATTACAAATATTCTCTCCTAGTTTTCAGGGGTTTTTTCTGAGTCCCTAAAAGGTTAAGAAACACTGCCATGGAGTGTATACTGATGGACAGCTGGCACCGGAAGTGAAGTAATTTTTAATGTGGATTTATTAGACTCAAAAGACCATTTAACCTAAGATGCCATTTTAATATCTTGTTCTTTAATAAAGATCTGTGTATTCTGTGGCCCAGGCACAGGTCTTCTCACTTCTTTATTTATACAATTTTTCCTACTGAAATTGACAGTGGATTTACAAGTGTTGGTAACTTTCCAAACTCTATAATTCCATCTGTTTATAAGATAAAGGATAGAACATTTCAGAATCTAAATTCCCAAAGTCAAAAAGTTATGGTAAAAGAAAGTATTATGAATTTAGAACTTACAGTCTTCACATCATTTTCATGATGAAAAATATATTCAAACAAGGCCTATGAAGGAAAAAGAATGCCAAAAATACATTAGATTTTATTTTAACAAAAGCACTCTATTGTTATATCAAAACTCAAAGGTCATTTTGACAGCAGCTGAAATCAAAATAATAGGTACTCACTCAAAAGTGCCTCAGATTTATAGGGAACAGTTCTAACCATTATTTGTTATAACCAGCTATTTTAAAATATGGCTATTCACAATTGATTCCTGTTTTTGCAGAATATAAACTGAAAAAACATCAAATAATTGAATAATTTTTTCATATTATATACTATTTAATTAGAAAGAAACAAATGAAAAGACCAACTAAAGGGTTGCCATAGGAGACTGAGCCAATTTTCTACATATTACATATATTATACAGTAATGAAGATTCTGATGACAATTTAGACATCGGGAAATGTGGAAGTTCCTTTAGAAACAAAGCATAATTTCAGTGTAAAATGGGGTGCTTTTTGCTTAATGAGCAGAGGCTGCTAAGTACAGCTGAGCTGAGAATTGTCACTGTGATGCAGTCACCCAACACTTCGGAATAAACAAGCAAGTACTGGATTACCTCTTGGTGGTACTATGTTTATCCACAATACCATTATTTTACACTTGCAAAGAGGCAAACCCCTGGAAGCTATCAAGGCTATTAACAGAGAAGGCTTGGAAGCAACCAAAAAAAGAAAAGGTAGTCAAGACAAGGCCCTTTGATGAGAAGAGGGGCCTAACACTCCCTCTGTTAAGCGTGCAGTTGGTGCTACCATCGCCATGAAGAGGATGTTACAACACCTGAGACAGTGTCAGGGAATCACTACGGACACTCTCAGCAATATGAGTCTAATAAGTCAAGGCAAAATGGGGACCAAAGATAGAAACCCTGGTATTATTTCTACAACATAACAATATACAAAATCTAGTTCAGTCTAAATCTTGTAACATACAACACGTCTGTTCCCGAGCATCTAATTGAGGGAAATGCTTCCATTAACTGCACTCCCAGTTACCACTGGCAGCAATGGTACCAACCAGTCGTCCAGTCACCTCGAGTAAATGGCCTAAAGAGGGAGGGCACCAGCTGTTCCATATGCATTGCTTTTAATAAGCTTTAAAATCCTGCTAAAAGAAGTTGACAGGATTGCTGTCAAAGAAAAACTTCCAACAGCATCTTTATAAGCTGATTTCCTGTCTACCAACTAGCATTTCTTTTTCTGATCTACAGTTAGTCTACTATGGTTAGTGTCCATTTTTATTTTCCCTGGGTGTTTGATATTTAATAAATATGTCGAGTGCCAACAAAACAGAGATTAGGAATGAACTAGGCACTCATGCACACAATTCAGAGATTACAGTTAAAGGCTGAACTAAGCACAACGAATTTTCAGAAGATACGTGCTCCTGGCTCTGAATAATTCCAAGGTATTCATTCTCAATCTCTCTCTCTCTCTTCAATTTTAAAAAGCATTTAATTTTTGAGTAGCTAGAATTACTAATGTAGTTGGCTTGCCACTATCTGCCTTGAGTAGTTCTTATTGAGATGCCTGATTAATCACTAATTAGCAGGAGCACAATTTTTTTATCGACAGTCCTAAAATCCTACAAGGATAGAAAATTATTTTCTGAGAATAGTCCAAAATGAAAAAGAAAAAAAAAATACACACACATAGACGACCTACCAAGCTTCACCAAAATAATGCTGCATATCTGCTTTCTCTACTAAAAATCACTGTTCATTGTCAAAAGAAAAAGAATTTCCCATAATAATGGTATATACACTTTTTCTGATTGATTTTCCTTAACTCAAGACTGAGACATTTGCATATTAGAGGAAATAAGCATGTACGTTTCAATCAAGACAAGACCCTCCCTGCACACTTCTAACATTAATTCATGATGTAAAATAATGTTAAGCACCTACCTTTGCCAATTTAGGTTTCTGGGCATATTTTGTTAAATTCAGTCTCGATAAATTTATAAAAGGTCCATCAGGACTGGTAAGCATGGAAGCCTATGGGTAAAAATGATAAAAGAAGAAATCTCAAACTTTCTCTTGAAATATAAATCAAGTGCATAAATATAATAAAGACAACATAAAAAGAATCAATTTCAAAAAGCCTTCCATGGGCCTCCCTGGTGGCATAGCAGCACTGTGAAGCTGTCCAGGCCTCTGCAGCACAGGTTCAATTCCCGGCAGGCCAGGGAGATACCCACATGGCGCGGCAGACCTCTCCTGTCTCACCTGCTGCTCCCCTCAGAAGTATTTTCGGTCTGTCTGCCTATTCTGCTCCCTGCTCTGTCTCTGGTGAATCGTCTTACCCTCCCGCACCTCTGGCGTGTACCCTACTTCTTGTACAAATGAATAAATCTTTGGGGAAAAAAAAAACCTTCCATACAGCTCTCCACTATAACAATAGTGAACAACAATGTAACATAACATAAACCTACATTGGTAACACAGGGCTACAGTAAAGTTGACACAACTTACTGTTCCCAGCCTGACAAATCTTCCAGAAGAATTGGTGATAGGGCGAGCTGTATAGGCAGTTCTGGGGGTCCTGATGGCCTGCTCCATGGTGCCTGGCCTTCCACTCTGCGTGCTGGGTCTAAGGAAACCTGTTATGGGTCTTCCGGCTTGAGTGATTGGTCTATGAAGAGTATAAATTGTTCAAACACAGGGAAGATCAATAAGGGAATATTCTCCTGCAGTCTGGTAAGTACTCAGGGACAGAAGGTATGAAATAGAAGTACACACCTGACAGCTGGACTGGGCCCTCCCGTCTGATTAGTTCCAGGGAGCTTCAAAGAGGTTCCAGGGCCTATGAGGTCAAATGGCAAATTCAATCTATGTATCACTTATTAATCTGTAAAAACTGTCAGCTAATGTAATTTTCTGAAATATGCTGGCCTGGTAAAACAGACATTAGCAACAGGAAATATTTTAAGGGAAATGTGTTGAGACTGATGTTGAGAACCTACCATGTTACTTAAGATACCACATTTAATATTCACACTAAGGTAGCATTAACTCGTTTAGCATAGGCTGAGAGAATTAAGTAAACAGGTCAACCTGTTAATAGGCTGAGATTCGAACACAAGACTAGCAAGCTCTAAAGCCCCAAAGCATCAAAATGATGGGTTCTATACACTTCGTTTCTCATACAAACTTTTTCCATAATAAGGTCATTTGCCCACAATATCTAGAATTTAGATATTTTAATTTCAAAAGAACAAAACAAGACATTTTAACATAGAACATGTGTATTTTTCCCTCCATTTCTACTGAAGCTTTAATATATACAAATCGTGGGTGTCACAACTCATTATTTCAAGCAAGACCTATGTCACAGTAATCATCCTATGCCATTTGCACCAACACACCTGCAAGCTGGGACAGGGCTTCTGTGACAATAATGACAGGCATTCACAGCCCAGAATAGCACACCATCATCTCACCTCATGCACCAGAGCCAATCATCTTCAATTATGTCCATGAAGTGAAAGTTTGGCATTACTGTTTTTTTCAGTCCCCGTTAGAACATGTCTGTTCTTTGGCTGTCTCCTATGTCTAACCTCCCAGATAAACAATCTTCTGATATATTAGACAAATGGTTTAGAAAGAATGCATTTTTATAAAATATTTTAAAATGCATAATACAACTTTTATGGGAAAAGTTTTTCAATACATCAATCCCACAAATCTAACATAACTGAATATAATTGAATCATGGAGACTCTGTACTGTAAAGCAGAATAGAGACCATTTGCTTCAATTAATGTTTTTTCTTGCTTCATGTACATAGCTTTTTTTAATAAGATTTATTTATTTATGCATACAAGAACTGGGGTACAGGCCAGAGATGTCGGAGGTGAGAAGTTTCAACATAGACAGAGTGGGGAACAGAACAGGCAGATGGACTGAAATACACTGCTGAGGGGAGCAGCAGGTGAGTCAGGAGAGGTCTGCTGCACCATGTGGGTATCGAACTCGTGCTGCAGTGGCTGCAGATAGCTTCACAGGTTGCGTCTTAGCCCCTTACGTCACCAGGGAGACATGTATAATGTATAAATCTTGAATCATATATATAATATACAAATGTGTAGGTGTACATATCTAATATCTTCAATAAACTATTCCTCTTTCTAATGGCATTTTATTAGTTAACTGAAAACCCAGTGCTTACGTGGTACTTGAGCAATAGCATTTTCATCCAGCATCATTTCTGCAATCCCTTCCTGATGGACATCAATTTCATCTACATATACCATTTCAGTTAGGGCTCGTGCTTTTAAGATCCAAACTGCCTAAAAAGCAAGGATAAAATAAAACACATTAAAGAGCATTAGAAGTACTGCATAATCATCTTTTATTATCTGATTGTATATTAAATGTTTACCACTTAATGCATTATACTAACTTTAAGAGCTATGTCATGAAAATGATACAGGAAAGTTACTAATCCTGAAACAACCAGTATATCAATTACCTAGCAAATACAAGTGTAGTGATTATCTGGTAGATTTTTAACATGTGTTTTATAAGTAAAAGATCCTTAGAGAGAAAATTTTACTAGAATAACCATTGGAAAACAAACAAACAAAGCTACAACAGCCTCTCCCTGCCTTCCTTCTTCAGGGCCAAGTCCTTCATGAAGATTTTCCTGATAACTTAACTCTAAACCTCCTTCGCCCTTGTCTTTTTCACAGAGCATTTCTCAAAGAGCACTGACTTCACGTTTCCATTACCATGTACTCACATATTTGACAAACATTTTAACGTTAGCCCACTCTACTCCAGAAAATGCAGTTTTTACCTGGCTCATTTTTTGAATTTTCCATAATACTTATGGAGTTAGTACCCAACAGATATTCCAAAAATGTTGAACTGAAATATGAACAATTTGTCCCAATAAGTAATCAACACAATCTCAGTTGCTTTGTGATCTAACCAGTTGAAAGCCTGCTAGAAACTGGGGAAAAATTGGAAAGGATAATAAGGAATCTGGAAAACATAAACATCTGGTAAACATATTTAATATGCTTTACCTTGAGAAATTAAGTGGAAAGGTGTACACAATTAAGTATCTTGTTAAACATTTAAACCTACTTTATTAGAAAGTTTATCTTTCTATGATTCACAAAAGAACAGACACAGAAAACAATAAAGCTTGGTGTCCTGTGGACAATTTGGAGAAAAGGCAACTCCTAAAGCAGAAACATAGCACTGACTCATGGTAGAGAGGAAGCAGCAGCCAGGGAAACATAGACAGGGTTGGATTCACCACCCTGGGGTCTGGATATGAAGCAGCTGAATGAAGGCAAAGGGACTAAAACAGAAACGGGAGAGGCCAGAGGTCCAACAAGTTCACACATAAATTAACCTGGGGTGCATTCACTCTGTCAGTCCATTTATTGAGCGCCTTCTAATTATGCAGCATTGTACTAGCTTCTGAGGACACATGAGAGGATCAAACCCTAAATTCCCTGAACACATCACCTACTGGAGTAAATGACAAGGCAAAGGAGTGCCTGACAGGTGACAAGTGTGTGGTGCAGAAAACAACTGTATGGGAATTAGGAGGTAGAGATGTATTTGTGGGCTGAAGTAACCAAAATGCATAGATAAAAATCTGTTTTAAAAGAAAAGAAAAATAATATCTTCCAGCTTTCATTTTAGTGGGAATGAAGAAGGCTTTCTTCACAAAAGATTTAGGTTCCTAAAGAGAAATTCCATTTGGTTAAATGATCGGGTTTTTTGGCTTCTACATTTCTGGTTGAGGTTTATTGGATTCTTATCAGTTTATTTAGAATAAAATATTTCAAATGTCGTGGAAATTTAACACAACTGAATGAGCAGAGTATGAACTCAAAGAACTAATTTGTTTGTAAAAACAGCAAAAAAATCAATTCCAATTGGAACTGCATCCAACTGAGGAAACCACCAAAGTGTAGAAACAATTTAAGGTTTTCACTCATAAAAGATCAGGAAAGTTGCCAAAACTATATAGCTATTTTCAAGGGTCAGGAAAGTTCATCACTGGATGGACTAATGGTTTAACCACAAAGGTGGAAAAAACTAATCCTGATTTAACTTACATACCCACAGATCATATACTCCCCTTAAAGTATCTGATAGCTCTAATTTTTCAAAAAGGGCATTCTTTGCTCAGCACATCTGGTGGACAGCGAGGACAACAGCAGTGTCTTCTGTTGAACAGTAAAGCAGGATGCAGGCTGTGCTGGATGAGTCCCACATTCCTATGGAGTGCCCTACTCAAGGCCAGGGCCTGCGAAGAGGCCTGAATAAGCCACAGCTCTGGCCCACAAGAATTTCCCAGCCCTAGCTCATCAGACTAGTTCTATCTCTTAAGAATTTCACAGTTATGGGGAAAGTGTAATAACTAAAAATTCTGGAATGTGTCATGGTAGGACAAGAAAGGTACTCAGCTGCCTGGGGGTGAAGAGAGGGTAGAAGAGAAGAATTTAATCTAGTGGCCCAGACAGGAGAGTGTGTGCCCAGCAAGGGGAATACGGGGGACATGGCAGGTTAACTAAAGGGTGTGTGGCATGTTTGGAAACAAAGGAGTTGACATTAGTTGAGGAAACAGTAAAAGAAGATCCTGGAGAAAAAGGACGGGACAGGTGACCAGTCCTGTTATGCCAGAGTGAGGTATCTGGATTTTTATTCTGAGGAGGAGGAGCTAATGAAGCTTCAGGACTGCATTTGGAGATCTAGTTAAACTGACCTTCTAAAAGTCAAGTTTTTGTTATTATAGTAAAATTTAATTGGCAATTAATTATCCACACACATTTTTTCAAGCATTTTCAAGTCAACACTGTTTTAGCCCAATCTACCTCACAAACCAACTCATCATGCTTTTCCTACTAACCTCCCAAATACTGAGATGCAATTTTTTTTTATATTAGGCTAAGCAAAACACAGGAAAATAAATCCACTATTCTCACTAAATGAATAAATGTTTCAGAAGTCAAATAGAAACAGCTTTTTTTCAATTTTATTCTATAAGAATTCACTTTTTCAAAAAGGTAAATATAGCTACATTTTTCAGTTTCTTAATCCTAATTCTTAAGTAAAAACAGTGATGTGAACTTCTGATATTTACATATCTGTAATAAAATCTACTGAAACTATCATTTAAATTTCACCAGTATTTAAGAATATTAATTTTATTGACTTTTCTTCTGTCCTAGCAAAAACTGACCTTGAAAAATCACACACCATTGCTTGATTAAACATCCGATTATATTCAGAGAACCACTCTTGGCAATGTGAACAATTCTAGAGATTTTAATGAAAACAGCAGATGGGGCTTTGGCTTTTAAAAAAAATATTTAAATTTATTTTGGAAACAAGTCAAGTTATGCTCTACAGTCCTAAAATCCTCTATGTGTTTTTTTTTTTAAAAAATCAAAACTAATCAATGGTTAAAATAAAATGTGTAACAGCACCTCTGGCAATTCCAAACTGCCTTTGAATAAAAACATAAATTGCCTTTATCAGATATATTTAACTTGTTAATAAATGACAGCATTCTAGTTTTTCAAAGCTGTTGTTTATATAAACACACATGAATGCCTATGGACTGGAATTGCTATAAAATTGATAAAAGTAATAACAGATGTTTAGTAACTCTTTCTTAGGGAAAAGCATAGATTTTCCCAATGAAAATGAGTAATCATTATATCAGTTACTTCCCTTTTAATCTATGAGACAAAATCCCATCTCATCTGCCTACTGAGTAAATCTATAAGACATTACTCTTGAGGCAAATATCTGACAGTTAACATCAGGAAAATATTGACTAATTTGTTCTCCCTTCTGTGAGGTTAATCCAACTTTTGTTATGAAAATAAGCACATATAAAGGTAAAAACTCTACTGACTGAGCATAACATGTTTAAATTGTTCTCTTTTTAATACAGAAAGCAAGGCCAGAAATTTAAGGCATTTAACAATTTGGCAAGGTTATTACTAGAATAACGCCATCAAACCTGATTGAAAAGTTGTAAGAAACATTTAACATCTCTGCCTCATTGATGAAAATGGGCACAAAACATTCAATTGTTATTATAAAGCCTTAACTACTGTGAAGTTGTAAAAATGCGCACAAGAAGAAAGGCAAAAAGTGTGAATAGTGAACTCAGAAGGATCCAATTAGCCTTGTTCCCTTTTTATTCTCTTGTATTTATTCAGTGGATAATTAAGTCTACAGTAACAGAACAAAAAGTAATAAGAAAAATAGGTCTCTCATAAAGTCCTGTGCTAGACAGGAATTTTCAAATGCCACTTACAGTTTTAAAATCTACCAACAATTCAAATTTCTGCTGCTTCAATTGAATTTTAATTTTAATCAAATCTTCCCTAATCACTGTAAACTAAAAGTACATTATTTTCTTTTTATAATTTAGGTCCTTCTTAGATGACTAGGACATGTATTATGCAAACAAGAGTTTTGTATCATCTATCAATTTGGAAATCACAATTAGGAACATTCCAAAAGCAAATGGCATTCTTTTAAAGAACAGAGTGACACATTTTGTTGTGGGGAGATCAGGGTGAGGCTGGAGGCACAGGGGTGAAAGAACTCACCAGAGACAGAGTGGAGAACAGAACAGGCAGATTTATAGAAACACACAGCTAAGAGAAGAGCAGGTTAAACAGGAGAGGTCTGCCCACGAAGAAGGATTTGAGGCTCTTTTATACTCTGTTTTAGCGGGCTTCCTAACTTGGGGCGCCAGTTTGCACCAGTTACCTGCTGGGACATCTGGTCTCTGGACTGGTGTTTAACCCAGAAACATGTCCTGGCCTCTGCTTCTGCAGTCCTGAAGCGGGACTGGTTTTTTGGTCCTGGGGGTCAGTAATATGGCCTTGTTCCCAAGGCAGCCTTATCCATTCCCCTGTATAGTCCAGCCTCCCAAACCTGCCTGCTGGGTCAGGAGTGGGGCTTTTTTTTTTTTACTTTATTCAACTGTATCCCTACACATTTTAACCCATGCATAGTGTTTGTTTAATACCACACAGGGCTCTATAAGGGTATTTGAATTTTGTTTTCTTCTAAAGATTTGATGATCATACATGACGAATTCATACGTGGTTGAAATTGTTTATTTGCCTAAAAAACACTCTCAAAATTCTCTCTGCTTGGGAGGGAACACCTGGCAATATTTAAGGTCTCTGGTCTACAGCTCTGCCATCTCTTTTCCTTCTTTCGAGACTTACCGGGAAACTTTATAGACTGAAAGCTTCCTGGCCAGAGAGGACATCCCCTCCAGCCCTTCATCAGA